GGGCTATTTGGGTGTGGGACCACAGGGGGTTTTCATACCCCCCCCCTGGACAATAGGAGCCCTGTGTGCGACTGTCTCACAAGTCCAACTCTGTTTCCCAACAAGGAGCGTAAACTGTTGTCAATATTCTGATAGCCTTCATCTGCCAATAATGACAGGCAGCCGGCCTCCTATCTTATCTGAGGGCCAGGTAGCGCCTCTACCTGGGGAGTGTGTGGGGGGGCAAAGTGAATAACCGCTGCGATAAAGAGGGTCTGGGCCAATGGGAAGGCTCTCGTCTGTCTGTGAGGAGTTAATGGAGAACGCCACTGGAGACAGGAAGTCCTCAGAAAGTGAAAAGCACTTTATCGCACACCTGAATGGCGCGGCATAGGGTTTCCCTCGAAGCCAATGGGGAAAACCACATTACAGGTCCTTACACTGGGTCATTACAACAGGGCAATGGAGTTCAAGTGATCCATTGCATTTGAATGACAGCATCACGTCGCTCCTTTCATTCCTGCCTCTTGTGTGACCTGCGGATGATCCCTGCGGGACTGGGATGTTGTCAGTGGAGGTGATGACGTTACAGTGGAGACGGAGCAAGAATCCGTCCATTCAAGGGTTTTACTCAAAGTGTAGGTAAGAAAAAAATCATCCCACACGTGCTGCCTCATTCACTCGTCAGTGAAGACAGTCACGGTGGCTGTAGCAACAGGTTCACGTGCCCGTAACCCACGGTGCACTGCAACGTGACATCATCAGGCCTCTAAAAATGAACTGCAACATCGATCCCTTGCAGGCTGACCTCCCATAAGTCAAACAGAGACGGTGTGGGACATGTGTTTGGACTGGAATGTATATTTACCTGTCACCAGGAGCTCAAGGACATGGCAGCAGCGAGGTTGTATCCAGCTCGAGAGCTTGAGTGTTTTGGGGTGAAAATGAGTTGTAAAAGTGATAAATGGCTAACGTTACTCGGGCTGAGGAGCACTGGAGCTGACACCATGCTTTCAGCCAAACAGTTAATTGCTCAGCACAGTGAAGGCCCAACAAAATACTCGTAAAGCATCACACACACACACAAAAAAAAGTGAAGTCCAGTCAACCTCTTCGTCTCCCTCTCTGCTTCTTCCTTCTCTTGACGTGTCTGGCTAAACGGCTGCTTCCCTCCGTGCCCTTCACAACTTTCCTGCTCGAAAATATTATGTTGTCCGTGGCAACAATTCGATGAAATAACCAATCGCATCTGCTCCTTCAAAGATTTCCCCCAAATTAAGCGGAGTCTGCACATAATGGACGAGTTGTCTCAACTGTGCGTTAGGATTTCAAGCCAGGATTTATTGTGGTGCGAAAGATGATAAGACTTGTTTTGACAAATGTAAAGGGCCAGAGCCGCTGTTATCAGCAGGATTAGCCGCTCTGATTGTGCCCTGGATTCAAGCTTCACTCCCAGCAACCAATCGCAGGATGTGGTGCATGCATCCCATAATAGCTGCGCTCGTCTCCATGGCCACCGCCACCCGTGCACGGTGGCCCCGCCTCCTCCTAAGTGCACTTATTTCATAATAACAAGCTTGGCGACAGCTCTCATCAGGCCATCATGCTCACAAATAGAGGACGAGGGAAGAGGGTGAGCCAGGCTTTGTTTTGACTGAATCAAATTTTGTCTCCAGCCTCTTGCAACTAACCTTCTTTCCCCCTGGCGACCTCCACAGCTGTATTTTTCCAGTCTTTCAGAATGTCACTGGCGCTCATTCGTCTACTGCTGCTGTGTCTTCCTCCTCTTCCTCTCCACCACCCCGCTGTTCTCCTCACTCCCCCACCCCAGCCCGTCTCCACGCCGTAGCCTGTACCTGTACCTGTGGATGTTGGCGGGCCTCCTCTGGACCCTCGCTGTGAACAGGAGATGACACAGTTTCTGGGTCACTTCTGTCACAGTCCAAATGTCACTCTTGGGGGCTGACCTTTCCGGTGGCCGACGCTAGAGCAGGCCGCCTCCGTGCAGGCTGTCACCCCTGTGGTTTCAACCGCAGACGCACGCTCCCTTCATTTCACTGACAGAAACCTTTTTTTCTTTCCCCCCACCAAACTCCCCATGCTCCTCTGCGGTATTCCCCATGTCCTTTCCATCCTCGACGATATATGTTAAAAGAACGGGGACAAATCAAATCTGACAAGCAAAATAGCCACTGTAAAATATGGCTGATGTATGTCATCTCAGCTAAAGTGTGGGCGATCAACGGCCCCAAAGAAGGCCACAGACACATGGTGTATCAGGTCTCCCTGGTGGGAACTCCAAATATGCTTCCTGGATTTATTTGAAGGTGTGGGTTACAAGGCCAGCACGACAAAATGTTTTTACGAATGAGAGCTTGGCTCTAAATGAAATAGCTCAGTTAACAAGAAGCCCAGTCAACACCTTTCCGTCCTCTTTTCTCCTCCACGCCGTTAGTATAACATCATCAACAGACAATCCAGCCCAAGTGTCTTGTTGAGTTGCTCATTACAGGATGTCAAAAGCGGAATTTTTCAAAATGCCCTGGGTGCATGTGATCAAATGTCACATCAGTGTCAGGAGTGACTTTTTTACAGGGTGTTCAGAGCTGTGAATTTTTTTGGAAGCACCCAGCAGTGTCTCTGCTTGTCCTGCTCAACCAGGGAATCATACACACTAAAACTAAACTAGCCCCACATCTCCCACACCCTTCTAAGAATATTATTGTGTCATAGTTTCCCTCAGACATACCATCTGCCTGCTATCCTGTCAGTCAAAACATCCACCGCTCTGCCATTTAAAAATCCCCCTGACCATTTTTCTCATGATCCATTGTTGTTTTTAAATAACAGTCTCTGATTAGCAGGCAGAGCTTCTTAAAAATAAAAAATGAAATCTCCCCATATGTGCTTCAGCTTAGTACAGAGAGAGGCTGCTTCTTTTTTCCAGCGCTGTTATTCAAGCCCACAAAAAAAAAATCATTTTTTAATTTTAAAAACCAGCTGCTCTGGCTCTTCCAGGAGAACTTTTATTTATTTCCACCCTGTGATGTCTTGCTGGCTGAGGGAGGCTGAGAGGATCCCTACTAAAAGCACCGTGCTGCCTGTGGCAGAAATGGGCCAGAGCCCTCTTCACATAAATAACCCAGAAGCATGAAGGAAGTCCGTTTGGTGGTCTGCTGGAGGGATAGAACCTACCCTTCAGTCTCTGGTTCTGTCCTCCTTTCTTATTCTCTGTGTCTCAGTGGTCGATCTAGCAGCTTGGCTGAAGAGACATAAAACAGCAGGATCTGGAAGAGATTGGGCCAAGATGTACATCTGAGTGGATAGTGGACTTCCAATAGCCCACGGCCCAGGGCCAGACAGAGCGGATGCTGTGAACTGCATCAAACAAATCTGACACATGGGAGTCGAAGATTTAAGAATCGTAACCAATATTACGAAACAGTATAAAATATGTAAATACATCATTTTGCATGTAGTTTCTCATCAATACTTCTACAGAAAAAAACTTGATTAATTACATACTTTAGTTTTTTCCTTCTTCTCACTAAATTGATTGTCACAAACATTATTACAGATAAAAAAAATACTGTATGTGGAGTCTCATTCTCTCTGGATGCCTCTCGAGGATTAAATTTCCCCAGAACCGAGTTGTTCCTGGCCCCAGGAAACACCCTCTTCGAACTGGCCTTATTTGGAAAGCACTCGAGTGCCCCATTGTTGTGACAAGAACAATGAATCTAAAAGGAGGTGGGAGACAGGGGCGAGGAAAACAAAATATAAAGACATCTGGCTGTTAAAAATCATCAGATGGAAGCTGTTTTTTCTCCTATTTTTTACACTCGCATCATGGAAATCTTGTCAGCTGACAGCATCGTCGGCCTGTGCCTTTGAAGTCGGTTTAAAAAAAGCTGTATTTAGTTTGCATTGTGTGCAGAACCTAATTTATAGGAGTTGACCCTGGCTCCTCGTTTGTGCGACAGCCATCTTAGAAAACAATGGCAGGAAGGCTTGAAACTTGAGAGGAACTGAATCTGCTGTTTTCCATTTTTTTCCTGTTCTTATTCAACAGAGAATTTTTTCCCTCCCAGAGTAAAATGGCTCTGTTTTTGTGTCCAACAGGAGCCATAAACTGATGTCTAAGCATTCCACGGCCAGGCAATAGGGCCTGTTTAACTGGACACATGGGGACAGTTGTTTTGTACCACATGGAGCAGGGGGGCCTTACAGAGGAAGCCATGGCCGCCTGGCGACCCTGTGGTGACCCAGTGGCCTCCTCATGGAGGGATCAAGGCCTAGATGGCAGCCGGCTGAGGGTTAGAGGTTTAAGGGTAACAAATCAAGCAACACTTTAGTGGTATTTAACCTCCACATTCCATATCTCTCTAACTGTGTGAGCAGTGCATGACTGTGCAGAACAAACATAGAAAAGCTTATTTTTAATTCTGCACGGGGGAGTTTCTCTTTCTCTTCAGCAACAGGAGAGGTTTGGGCAGGATTACACCATCACTTCATTCATAACCTACTGAGTCTTTCACCTGAGCTCCACTTTGATTCTTCTCTCTGCAGGACAGTAGGTGATGTCAGCTAGGAAGCCGCTGTAATATTAGGAAACACAAAATAAATTCTCAGTTTCAATACTCCAACAGTTAGGAAGCACAATATTGTGTAAAATGATTCTTATAAAACATTCTCTGAGGTGGTGGCAGGTTCTTCACCCCTTCACTTTCTTCCCTCTTATCGTTTTGAGTGCAATAAAGAGGAGGGCAGGACAGAGACCCCCTATAGGCAGTGCATATCTGCCTCTAAAAGCATCACTCAACTTTATGTTCACTTCTGGTTCCCCTCGCCCAGCTGTGTTTCTTCCATTAGTATCTGCTCATAAAAGTTACTGGGATTGTAAAGATGTGCAACACACGACTGCTGGATGCTCACTCACCTTAAAATGGGACTCAGGCGTTTCTATGAACCTGTGGACGCTCACAGAGATGTAAAGTTTGTGATGAGAACATATTCAAAACTTTTGATCAAAAGTTATTTATTTATCGTTAACATACAAAACTGCACCGTACAAGGTTTTTTTGCATGATTCTTCATCATTACAATGTCAAATGTGAAATAAAAAACAACACAGATACATTTTTCTGTTTTTTGGACATTGCTACAGAAATATAATGGAGCGAACACAGTGCCAATTTATAAGAATTTTAGCTTAACAGCTGCTTTAATCTATTGTGTGGAGAACACTGTAACTTCAGGCTATACGTTAGCTAACACACAATCTGAAGTTACAGTCTTCAGTCTGGATGAATAACTCTGTCAACTTGTCACCAATTCATCTCTTAACTAATCAAGGATAGAAACAAAATGAATCGTCAAGAATTTAAATATAAATTGATCATTGTGTGAAGCAGAGCAATTAAACAAGATTCTCATATGTGATGATTTACTTGTTTTATCTGATTCATTGTAACTTTTTGAGAAACTAACAAATTGTGTTTTTACGATTGATATGATTTAAGCCAAAGAGAATAGTAGACACATGAGTCTCTGTGTGAAAAACTATTACAAAAATAAAAATTTGGCGTTAAGTAATCTACAGAAATTTACAAGTTAAAGGATAATCCACACAAAATACACTGCTACAATGGTTTGATATTTTTGTGATGGACTTAAGTTGTGATGTGAGCCGTTGCTTCGGACCTCAATAGATTTTCTAATGTGAAGTGAAAAGGGTCACAGTGAGGCCAGCTTAATCAGAAATGATCCTGTTTACCCCCTGGAGAGGGAGTGAGAGGGCACTGAGTGACGCAGGTGAGAGACAGGCGTCCACGCAGACCGCACCTCGCTTATCTGCGTAAATGTAACGGAGGAGGAAAGAGTGACAAAGGCCAGGGCTTTGGGTGTGATAAGGAAGGGCCTTATGTCCTGCTTTGGCCCCGGCTCTCACCCTGGTTGTCCATAGCACGGGGCCATCCAGGGGCCAGGCGCCGGCTGCAACCAGGAAAGCCGCCAAGAGTGTGCTTCACACTCAGGTATGAATCTGACCCTGTGCTGTCAGATATACAGAGTGCTGGTGTGTATTTACATGTGGTAGCTTTGGGGCATTGAACGAGAGGAAGAAAGGGAGAGACAGACAGAGACAGAGGGTCAGGTGGAGTTCAGGGCAGTAGTTTCACACTGCAGGAAAACCAAATTGCTTCTGGATCTTGGTATCCACCCCTGTATACTTCAGTGTTCCAACCCTCCCCGCCTCCTTGTCTTCCTCTTTCTTTCCTTCCATTCATCCTCCCATCTCTACGTAATTTTTTTTTTTTTTTCCTCCACTTCTCATCTTTTCTCACTCTTTGTCCTTATTCTGGGTCTTGTGGCTCTTGTGGCAGTTGGTCCTGCTGGGTGACATGACACAGGGTGGCGATGTCTGAAGGGAAGCAGTCTTTGAGCAGGATACCTCTGTCTCTCTGGCAGTCCAGCTCTCCTATAAAGCCATACCAGTAAATCACAAGGCCGGGCCCGAACCTGCAGTGCAAAACAAAAAGAAACAAAAGCCGGGCTCTTGTTAGTACATCATCGCTGTCATCCTGGAGAGTTCTGAAGAAGTTGTCAGTGAGTTGCTTTCAAATTCAGATCTGCAAAATGCTTACAGCTGTTGACTTTGGATGTGGACATAAGACAAAAAGACATACAGGAATAAATAAGAAAGATTGGACACCAGTGAGATTCATCTATGAGAGATAAGGTCACTAAGGTATTTTACTTTGATCACCTTCCAGGAAACGTGTGCTGAATCCAAAAAGCCGCCAGGGAGATTAAGATCTTTCTGACAGGGTGATACACACTCGATCACATTACAATGGCAGTGAAATAACAATAATCTGAAATAACAAAGCTCTACACCAAGGCCTCCGGATGCTGCCGTCGAAAGCCTTTGGCACATAGCAGAGCACACAGAGTTCATGACAAAGCTCTGAGATTTAAACACAACGCATCTGGTGGTTGATGGTAGCCGGTCCAACTGTGTCCAGCTGTTTCATTCACGATCACTTTGAAAGATTAAGCAACTTTGTCTCAGTTGGCAAGCTTCACAGTTCCTAAGAGCTATAAATAATGAATTGCCAAGCAACTGAGGAGTCAAGTTCAGGCTATTTAAATGTAAGGTGTGATTTTTTTTCCTTCTCTCATCTTTGGTTGTTCCGTTTCATCATTCTGCTGCACGGACACTCCAGCTACCGTACACCTGAAGATCGGCTGATAAAGGTGCAGAAATAATCAAAAATGGAGGAGTTCTCTGGGAATGTGCAACGTTATTTCACCACTTCACCTCACAAAGGCAATAAATCATCTTTCAAGCTATTTATTATGCCCCTAAGAGCCACTGGTGGCCCCTCTCTGCCTCATATAGATCATACCTATTCTTTGAACATTAGCTGCCATGCATAAAGACATGTCACAGTTGAACTCTGAGTGGAGAGCACCTCCGTTACCATATGCAAGACCAGATTCGAGGGGCTGACAGTGCTTCAGTCCCAGACACTCTATCCTTAGACAGTTAACAATGTTGTGGCGCCTCTGGAGACCTAGACAGGAAGCTAGCTAAAGGGCCACAGAGAGCAGCAGAAGTTCAGCTCCAAGGTAAAGTGCATAAAACCTTGAAGCAGTGATCAATCTTTTCATATTAAATAACTGACTCCAATACCCTTTGTTGTTATTTTTAATTACAGTTACAGGTATCTTTAGTAATTTGTGTGACCATAATAATTTATGGTATTATAATAAATACCTAGAAAGTTAACCTTACAACTTTGACAAGGCATTTTAAGCGCATAAATTATAAACCCAAGTGCAAAAATCAGCTGTCGTGACATCGCCAGCTTTATGTACACATGTACTGTACTGCGGCGGCTGGGCCTTGAGGCAGTGCATGTTTTACATACAGTTCTTGTATGGAGACAGACACATGCATGAAAAAAAATGTGACTGTACACGCACACACCCCTCCCTCCATGAGGCCCTTACAGCGGTACATGCTTCTGCACCTCATCCTCGCATTCTGCGTTTTACAGTGTGTGATTTACGGTGCTGTATCTATGAGCAAACAGGCCAAAGCTAACAGCCCTGGAGAAAGCCCACAGATGCACGCTGCAAGTTCACCGCAATGTCACACACATAGCTCAGCCTCTCAGCGCTGCACAAAGCCCGAGCACCCAAAACTCTCATCGTTTCCATGGTCCACTGCTGCACATGGCCGCCAACTCTTAAAATGGTAATGTTATGGAAACAAAACCTAAACATTTACATTAGATGACTTTAGAAAAGGGGTTATGCTCTTCTTTTATATTCAGCTGGCGGGCTGGATGTATTTCCTGTGCTCTGGAAGGAAAGGTGAGGCAGAAAAAGGGGAGAAAAAAGAGAGACCCGTTTGCTCAGAGTGGAGAGGGGCAACCTTCTGAAAAGGTTAAAACTGTACATCAACAGATAAGGCAGTGGTGCACGATACATCATGTCAGGGGAGGCCGAGCACAAATTGAAACAAGCAAAATTATAAACACAGGGGAGCCACGTCACCAAGGCCTTTCCATACTCTAAAGAAAATATATGGACTTCGAATCCTACTCAGAATTATTACAAGTCAATGCAACACAGACCTTGAGGTAAAAATGTGAGACTGAGAATAGAAATAATAACACAGAAGGGGAAGGGAACAGTTAGGAGGCCATGACTGAGTCTGATGGCTAAAGGATGAGATTCTTAAGAAAAAATTGGAAGCAGCATCAAGATACTGTAAAAAGCAATTATTATAATAATAATACGATATACAGTATGATGCCTTCAATGCTACTGGTCCCTCTGAAGTTTGTTTTTGTAACACCTGAGGAAGTGAACACAAGTTCAGTTTGAATTTGTGGGCAAATTATGGTTTATTATGTGGGACAGCTCATCTTAACCTGGCATGTGCTTATTACACACACCGCCTCAAAGTCAGAGTCAGCCATCTTCCAATAAACACCTAACTATGTAACGAGTTAGGGAAATTGTTTGTAAAACGTCGCTAATTTTAGCAGAGGGGCCACTTGACAAGCCTGGGCGGGGATTGCTGCTGCCAGCCATGCTTTCACTACAGTGTTAATGAGCGGGTGGTGGTCGCATTTATAACAGGTGCCAAGCGGCTTACTACTGTAGCCTAATGAGAGCAAGGCACTCAGGAACAAAAAGCCTTGAATGGAGAAGAGGGAAAGTCCCACACAGAGGTAGGGGCAGGATGAAATCTCTGCATCTTAAATGCACAACTCATACATAATCTCTGAAGCGCTAAAATACAAACTTTTAACCTGCAAAGAATGTGAAACTCGCTTTTATTGAATTTATTCCTGCCCTTCTTATTTTCTGTGAAGTCTAAGGTTGCTGGAGGTCAGACGGCACATCCCCTGAAAAAATCTCAAGAGTTGAACATTTCCATGGAACACACACATCAAGGTTAATTTGATCTGCCACATTTGGTGAGAAAAGGCTTTGCAAAAACCGAGGGCCGAGCATTTCTGCCAAAACACATTACACGACATGATGAATTATCAATAAAATCAAGATGAATTTACGCTCGACTTTAAAACACCCTCATTTAATTTTCATGCCACACAGACCCTTTTCAAACAAACGCCCGAGCAATGATTTAGACAGCGTAAGCCTCTACCTGAGGGTGAACTCTGTGTCTCTGAGGTTTCCCCACAAAGACCTCTTTGTTTTCAGCATCCATACATCAGGTCGCTAGGTAGGGCCACTAAAGCGCTGCCAAACATTAGCTTTAGTCAGTCATTTCTCTGCTTCCAGGTATGGAACCGGCTGAACTTCTTTTGAGACAGAGAGCACTGAGAGGGATCAGGGAGGAATAAAAGTCTCTGTGTGGGAGACGGAGCAACTGTGTACATAGCAAAAAAAAAGAAAATGTGTGTATTAGTGACAAATGGCCTGGTCTCTCGAGGTCAGTCTCTGCTTATAGGCAGCTGCCTATAGGAGTTTATTTACAGGGTCAGATAATTCTGGTGTAATGTGTTTGGATGTGTGGCGTTTTAAAGGAGGGGGAGTGACCCTGCAAACAAGGTGATACGGCTCAGCAACTGATCAATGAACATACAGCTTGTGTATTTTAATGGCCTTGCAGTAGCTGTTTGTAACTAATCTGATGGTGAAAACAGTCCTGATCTGTGCAGACAGATATCTTATTTAGAGACGGCATTGTCTGTAAGTAAGAGGGGATGAATAGAACAGTTAACCTCCCATCGACAAGTTATTTACATGAGTCAATCTAAGAAAAGAACACCTTCTTTGCTCCCCTCCACCTCCCCATTTTTCTTTACGGGCTAAGAAAAGTTAAACGCTGCTCAGGTATGTAAAACATATAGGGAGGTGGGTGTCACAAAAAAAGCTGTGCCTCGTCCAAACCTACAAGCATCGTAATTAAGGCGGAAGAGAGAGCAATAAAAAATAAAACATCTTCAGCCAGGTGTAATTCTCACAGACGTTTTTATGCTTTCTATCGATGGGGTATGGAAATGGAACGTGGCGCGGGTGTGGTTCCTCTTTGTCACTGTTGGAGGTAGAGAGTGTTTTATGTGCAGGGGTGTGGAGGTGTGATGTGTGAGCATGAAGGGTGTGGGAGGTCACGTCCAGTCAGTCTGTTGTGAGTTGTATGTTAGCTAACCGAAGCAGGATAGCAACACCACATAAGGCTTCCAGTGCTTTATCCATAGGAACCGCTGAGGGGGACGTGACCTCAGCTCTCTGAGCCACCAGAAAACACAAGACTATGGATTTTTTAACAAAACCTTCTTAAGTTGTATCTACCAGGAGCAGTACTGTTACATTCACATACAAAATGTAGTTAACATACAAAACTGTGATGGCACTGAAGTAGAAGCATTTACCAGTTACGTAATGCATTGCATTAATGTTGTTTTATTTTTCCGGAATTTGAAAAAGCACAAATTAGTATTTTCATGATTTGATTGTTATCCCACCATTGTCCACCACCTTCACTGTACTTTGTGAATCTGCAGTCTTTATCTCCAGCTAACGAATTATCACTTTCTCTGAACTATCTCCTCAGCCACCTTCTCACGTCAGCCAAACCCTTATCACATGACACACACACACACACACACAC